TGTACGTAAAGGAACCACATTTTGATATACATGTACAATGGAACCTTTTACCATGGAAACCAATGGTGAGCTAAATGATTCACAGTCAATTCGTCCCAATTCACTTTCGTCCCAACACATTCGTCCCACAAGTCGATTCGTCACAATTCACATTCGTCCCACGAGTCGATTCGTCCCAATTCACATTCGCCCCATTTCACATTCGTCCATTTTTTAAATTTTTAGTCAGCATTACGATCTTGAACAGGGTCAATGTCTATGCCAACTGTTACTGACACGCTAACTAATAACTCCACATTGCGTGAACGGTGTATTTGTATTTATTAACTAATAACTTGTACGTTGAATGTCCGGTGTATTTGTATTTATTAACTAATAACTCTACGTTGCACGCAAGGTGTATTTGTATTTATTGACTAATAACTTGTACGGTGTATTTGTATTTATTAACTAATAACTCAGCATTGTACGTAAGGTGTATTTGTATATAACGTCGGCAAAAACAAAATGGCGCAACAAACAATTACGCATGCCAGTGCATGACGTGTACGTGAATAGTTCGTTGTTTGGATGTGTTTGTGCTTATTTGGCGAGTTAGTAGTGGGATAACCTTAAATCTGACGAATCGACTTGTGGGACGAATCAACTTGTGGGACGAATCGACTTTGGGACGAATTAACTTGTGGGACGAATCAACTTGTGGGACGAATCGACTTGGGACGAATGTGATTTGGGACGAATCGACCGTCCCCCAGCTAAATGCCCCAAAAAACGCCATTATCATACTTTTTTCTAGATTTTGTGAGCAATAGCATATTATTGTAAATGTCAAGAAAATATGACGATGTGTCTTAATGGTAGTCAATGGTAAAAATGAGTTGTGGCAGAAAATGCACCAAACAGATTACATAGCACTGTGTGTTCTGCATTCTGTTTGAAAATGGAAATAGTTTCTGCCCGACTCTCTCGATGTCAATGGTTGTTGTACACAAATGACATTGTACGAACATGTTCTGGACCGTAGAGCGCCGTGGAGTAGTTGGCAAACTTCCAAATTACAACACACCGTTTCGTTAGCAATTCCACGATAGATGTAATTACGCTAAAATGTAATTATTTATCTTGGTACTAACGTTTTGGTTTGGTCACGGAATTTGAAATTTATCATTTATGGAGTATTCTTGAATAATAACAAATAATAATAGTAGGTGCACAGTCTCTCGCCTAATTCAAGTTCAACCACAGCGCATACCTTTCAAGTATGCATAATCGGTGATAATTCACAACAGTTCAAGCTATGACACTCAAAATGTACAATGTCAAATCACTGTTATCGTTGAAGATTAACATATAACACATGTAGTACTGCGAATGTATCACAATTCCATATTGGCGCCCAGTCACATGAAGTCGTTCCATTTCAACGACATTTTCATTACAAAAATATTTCTTCCCACAACTTACCTTGATCCCGAAGAAAATCTACTTCTCCGGCAGCCATTGCAGTTTTCTTGTATTTTTAACAGAATAGACCAATAAGCATAAGCGAAAACGCAACGAAAAAGCGGTTTCCGCAGAAAAGATTTCCGAAATCTTACAGAGAGAACAAAACTATGTCAGCCATCTTGTGTTGATGAATGGAAACGAGGCTGCGTGGAAACCGTCGCAATGACGTCATTGCCTAGAGAGGGAACCCTTCAAAGTGCGTTGACATGATGACGAATATCACAGTCAGCTGGCTCATGGAGCTAATAGATAAAAAAATAAATGTGATTCGTCTACTGATGTTTACTATATGGGGGTAGACACAAGTTGATATTCAGATTCCTACAATTCAGTAAAAAATACCAAACTTCAAAAATAGTCAAACAATCCAGGCAACCGCAAAATTTAGTACGCATTTCGAGTAATAGCTGAATACGCGAGTTTAAAATGGAACAGTTTTGAATTCAATAAAATCATGAGTAGAACTCACTTCAACCAGAGACTGAAAAATCAGGGAAAACTGCACTTTGCAGGGGGTGGGCGGGGCGAGGGGGGCTGGCTGTTACAAGTTACAGAAAATAAACATAGTTGAACTCTGGTGACCCTGCCCTTTGTTATATAATATTATTCCCTTTATCATAGTTTGTTTCAATATGAATATGCATTTGGAGCTGAAACAACAGTAGGAAAGCAGTTTACCGAATGTCCTTGATAGACGTAAATATCTTACAAAAACATTGGTGCCTAATTTGTTTAATTATTTTAAGGAACATAATTTCCAGCTTTATTCAAATTAATTCAGATTTTTTATTATAAAAACAAATGCCCCATCTCAGAAAAAAGTGCTGCATTTAGACGTCAATAGATTCATAAATCATGCAAGATACCAGAAAATCTTAGCTAGCTTTTGCCCAAGTATTTTGTACAGGTGTCTGTCAAAAATTAATGATTCACTGAGACAAATATGAACTGCTTTATTATATTCATTGTGTATTATTTGAAAAAAAACGCCCTCTATCATGTTCCAGCTCTGCCTTGTAAAGTTGGTGTCCAGTGGAAAGAGAAGTCAACAGTACTTTTGCCTCCTGAGAATCTACATTTTCAAACACTGCAATCTGTTTTTAAAGTGCATTTTAAAATTATTATTATAAAAGCTCTATCATTCTGTTTTAATAGCTGAAACAAATTCTTGTGAATTTTCATTTGTCAAATGAACTGTTTGTCAAATACAGTATATCTATTTTTGAGTACAATTTTCTTTTCAAAATGTGGATGCAACGTTTTGCTTTTTATGTATTCTTTTCGATTTGATAACTTTAGACTAAACAGATTTTCTACTAGCTTCAGATCTTGATCAAAGTTTGGCACCCAATTCACATGAGTGCTTATATTAATTTTCTGACATCTTGTTTTCTGTAAAGATTTTATTGGTAGGTTTGCAAATGTGTATCAGAATGTGCAAAAAAATCTCTTCATGAGATGGTTTTGAAACCCAGTATAGTATTCCCATGGGATTTCGGAGATACATTACCAAGGATACTATTAAAAGATAAATGATTTGCTTCATTGAACACAAACAACAATGCATATTTCCACTGAGATCATTGACCTTTGAATGTGTATCATCAGTGATAAGTCAAGTAGAAACAGTCAAAATATTTTATCAGATTTTTGCATGATATTTTCATACAGGACAACTGTCTTTCATACTCAGGGAAGACTTTATACTGATGAATATGGTGACCAAGTGTGATAAAATTTGGAATAGAATTAGTAAAGTTATTGTGCACACAAATACAATTATTAATGACGACGACAACAACGTTTCAGAACAGCTCTTCCACAGGCATTCCACAACAGCTCTTCCACAACAGCTCTTCCACAGTAGCTCTTCCACAACAGCTCTTCCACAGTAGCTCTTCCACAACAGCTCTTCCACAGTAGCTCTTCCACAACAGCTCTTCCACAATAGCTCTTCCACAGGCATTCCACAACAGCTCTTCCACAGGCATTCCACAACAGCTCTTCCACAGTAGCTCTTCCACAACAGCTCTTCCACAGTAGCTCTTCCACAACAGCTCTTCCACAGTAGCTCTTCCACAACAGCTCTTCCACAGTAACTCTTCCACAACAGCTCTTCCACAATAGCTCTTCCACAATAGCTCTTCCACAGGCATTCCACAGCAGCTCGTCCACAACAGCTCTTCCACAATAGCTCTTCACAGGCATTCCACAACAGCTCTTCCACAGGCATTCCACAACAGCTCTTCCACAGGCATTCCAGAACAGCCCTTCCACAGGCATTCCACAACAGCTCTTCCACAGGCATTCCACAACAGCTCTTCCACAGCAGCTCTTCCACAATAGCTCTTCCACAGGCATTCCACAACAGCTCTTCCACAGCTCTTCCACAGCAGCTCTTCCACAACAGCTTGTATAGATCTCAGATATACCGGTAGTTCAGTTCAAGCAACATAGAACATTCCATTACATAGTGCTGCCCCCAAAAAGAATATAAAAGGTACACATAATTGTGTAATATATTTAATCATCAATATACAAATGTTGATTCCAACAGTTGGAAGGCATACAATTTTAGAGACCTATTTATTTTCAATTGAGTTTAAACTGAGCTTGACACAAAATAACTTTATTGCATTTTTAGAAATACACAATTTTCTATCAGTATATACCGGTAGCAATAAAAACAAAAACAAAAAACAATGAAATAAAGTTGAAAAAAAAATAAAAAAAGATTGCATATCATGTTTTTCATTTTTAACATATATATATATATATAAATTCTCCTACAGATTTGATATTTTCATCTGTACCTTGCAATAAATGAATAAATGTTTTGGAGATTATTTCAATGGAAAACCTTACTTATGTCAAATATTTTCAAAGTGATAGATATTTGGGGCATTCCATGAACAAGTGTAGTTCATATTCTATTTCTTGAAGTGAGCATTCTATTTTCTAAAGGAGTTTTGGGATTATTTAGTATGTTTTCTCTTTCAATAGCTTGGTTATGGTTGCTTGACAATGAGTTTCAAACTGTTGTGAAGACTTGCATCCCTAAACACACATCAAATAAATTGTTTGTTATACTATTTAGCTGAACTGGTATAAAAGACATGCGTAACAAACTTTTTTTTATTTTAGTTACAACAAGTATTTGTTAATGACATAGTTCTCGTTAGAATTAGGAAGAATGTTATTTATGCCAAAAAATAAGTTATGGACCAAAAGCATAGTTAGTACTTTAGGGTGAGTAAATTGGCTGGTCCAGTATCAACGGAAATTATATGTATTATATTACTCTCCAAAATGAAAATATATGGTCAGAAATTCAACAGGATATACATTTTGTATATCCAAACTGAATTTCCTTTGTCCAGGCAGTCAACCATCTTTGATCTGATTATAAAACTAATTTTCATGGACAAAATAGAAAATCAAAGAAAGCTTAGAAAGAACTCTCGTGTGCTGAGAGTATTGAAGACACATTAAAAATTAATTCAAAATTACTTGTACATGAGATATTGATGGAAAAGCTGAAAACTAATTATGTAAATCAGGTAACTAATATGAACAGAACAGAACAACAAAATTATGAATTATTATGCTGATTAGAGAATTAATATTAATCAAAATTAATCAGGCCTGTCTATTGTCCTAGAGCATTTATGTACCAAATTTTATTCAAATGTGATGATCAGTAATTGAGATATCGGTGTTAAGTAATTATGTTAATTAGGTGATTAATACATAAATATTTACCAAAAACTAATTGGGTTTCTGCATAGTTCTCTTTAAAAGTTTCATTAAAATCCAATTTGTGGTTCTTTATATATCAGTGGAACATTATGCAAATTAGGTAATTAATATCAATTAAAACTAATCAGGTGTCTGCATAATCCTAGAAGATCTATGTAGCAAGTCTCATTGAAATATGATGATTACTACTTGATACATCAAAAGCTGAAAATTAATTAATTATGCAAATTAGGTAGTTAATATGTACTCATATTACCCTAAAACTATCAGGTCTGTGCAGTGTCTTCAAAAAACAAAATGGCTGCCAGTCTTGGATTGAATCAGTAAAGTACTAGGTACATGCAAAGAATGAACAGATTTGGTCCACAGGGTTCTGAAATATGTCGCACAGATGGATGGATAGACGGAGAGCGAATTATAAGTATGTGTTTCAAATTTTATTCAAACAGGGACTAAAAATCAGTCAGTTAAATTTCACTAAAAACAAGAGAATACAGGAACCATTTTGTCTTCTCATTTTTTAAAACAAGAAGTATGATAAATGGACAGGAGGCATGCAAAAAAACAATGGAAATGACACAAAAAACAAATCTGTTACCAGTTTGTCATTTTAAATCAAATAACAAAACAAAATGACCATGCATCAATAACCTTTTAATAAGTAACATCAACAATAAGTTTGAACAAAAACAGTCCAGGCATTAATGGGAGTGTGTTAAGAGGGGATAACCAGGCTACAGCGAAAGTGGTTACTGATAAATATTGTTTATTTTGTAGTAACACGGCTTTTGCCATTTATATCGTCCCATATTTTTTTTATTGAAAAAACCACCAAAAAATATACAAGAGACTGTTAGTTCGTCAAAGGTCATTAAAAGAAAAACAAAATCGACATACATCTTTTAACAAAATCATTTCAATAAATCATTTTAGAGACCCAAAGATGAAATTGATTTATATTACAATATCTCAACATCAGTATTGTTGCCATGACAACATGATGCCTCATTTTCAGAGCTCTGAATCTGTTTATGGTATTTCTTATTGTGAATATTTAAAGATTTGTTATTAATAAACAAGATATCACATATTTCACAAGAAACAGCAGAAAGTGAAGAATGAGCTGCCATGTGAGTTTTTAACTGTATATTCCAAGTACTGGCATAATTACATTGTTGACATTTGAATGGTTTCACGCCTGTATGGGTTTTCATGTGAGAATCAACTTGTGCCTTTTTAGCAGCCACAAAGTCGCACTTTTCACATTTATATGGTTTTTCACCAGTGTGTGTTCTTTCATGTTCCAATACATACTTCTGTACACAAAATGCCTTACCACAGAAGTGACAATTGTATGGTTTCTCATTGCGATGGTGCATCATGTGTATTCGAAACACATGCTTGCTTGAAGCAGCATACTGCTTCCCACATATCTCACATATGATTTTATTAGCATTTTTGTCTTTCTCATGGACATTCATGATATGTCTCCTCAGAGACACACTTGTAGTGTACCGATTGCCGCAGATATGACACATCTTCTCTCCTGTATGATTGCCTAGATGATTCTTCAAATCTTTTTTCAGAACATAACGTTTATTACAGTCAGGATGTGGACACACATATGTTTTCTCATTTTCTGGTGTGTGATAACGCATAAAATGTTTTTCCCTTGCATTATTATCAAAGAATCTTCTATGACACACTTCACATTTAAAGTTTTTTGGGCCATGTGATATTTTGTGATTTCTTATACCAATCATGTTACCAGCAACAAAATTACACAGATGACAATTCAATTTCTTATCTTCGTGCAATTGGTAATGGTTTAGCAAACTCCGGGGTTGTTTACATCGATATTTACCTGTGCACAACAAACATGTAAACCAACCATCCTCATCAATTTTGTAATGTGGTGCAAATTTTTTTTTTTTTAGCTCAAGACGAGCTTCTATGTCATATTTGTCTTCATCTGGAATACAATCATCTTCTTCTTCATGTTCACTTGAGTCACTAAATTGACTACTATCACTGCTTTCATTGCTATCATCTCTATCATTATCTGGGATGAAATCTTCATCATCATCTTTTTGTTTTCTTTTTATTTCCCATTCTTCCATGCTATTATCATCATCATAAACAATGTTTTGGTTCACAATCATCTCCTCCCCTGACTCCAATTCTTTACTATTATCATTCATTTCAATGTCATTTTTGTCAGACTGCTCCTCCATCGTTTTCCACCATGGGGTCAGTTTCTTGGTCAGCTCAGCTGCTTTCCTACGTGGTCTTCCACTTAAACTTACACACTGCTCTTCATTCCTTCTTAGTTCTACATTATCTTTGGTTTCATTTGTTGCCACAACTTGGTAATCTATTGTGACTGACTGTTCTTCCGCTTCTGGTTTATCAGTTGAATTACTTGAATCACATGCAGGTTCTATCTTCACATGAACTCTTGATGACGTTTGAAGATCTTTTACTGAACCATTTCCAACCAACTGTTCTTCATTTCTGCAAAAAATTTAGTAAATGCAAAAAAATAGCTTACTCACTTGCAATGAGTTCTCAGCGGCAACTGCATCTAGGTTTATTGAAATGATAGAGTTAAATGTGGGAAGTTTGAATGGAATCAGTAAAACATTAAAGTTGCATTCCAACCTTTTTCTGATTATTGTGTTTAGCATAAAACATGATAAAATCAGTTGGCAGCAAATCCAGAAATACTGGAGCATAGAAGCTAGCCTACACTGAATGTTATAGTGCCTTACAAATGAAACTCATTTCACTGTTATTACTAAACACTACTGTACCTTACTTTAGAATTCTTCTAAATTAGATTTTAAAGATTTTGTTTGATAAAATATCCTATGAACTGTACAAAATCTAAAGCCCTTTTATGCTTACAAGGGTCAATGAGGGGTTTTCTGCAGATCACAAAAAGTGGGAATGCAACTTCAAGGTAGTGAGAGGAGAAAGAAAACTAATAGTTTCATTGTGATTAGAACTTTTCTCGCAATGTATATGTTTTCAGAAAGCTAAAATATAGAAAAATGCGATGGTGCATATTTCGTGTTAATATTTGCTCAGGAAAGTTACGAACATTCTTATGAACCTCCTAAAAATAGGGTTTCTGCACGGGATAGGCCATTTCCCGTTGTTTGTCCTTTCTATGAGTTTGATTTTCTCAGACGTGTTGCTTTATAAAACAACAACATATACGACAAGCCTATTTGTTATGCAAATACTGTCAGGGAGGTAACACACAATACTATCTATCTATAGTCTGTGGTGATATGGCAGAAAAACATTTCAGTAATGAACCACATAACCCAGTAAAATAGGAAACTCATTTTAAAAAAAAGACACTAAGAAAAACTTGAAATTTAAATACTATAGTGTGAACGTTTGTTTGTGCTTTTAATACGATCACGTATTGGTCAGATTACACAGAATACTAGTATAACAAGCCATGCATGGCACGTATTGGTGAGATTACACAGAATACTAGTATAACAAGCCATGCATTGCACGTATTGGTGAGATTACACAGAATACTAGTATAACAAGCCATGCATGGCACGTATTGGTGAGATTACACAGAATACTAGTATAACAAGCAGCCTATCGACTGAGATAGCTCCGCTGTTAGCAATGCACATTTCAATTAAAGAAATGAAGACATCATTAGAAAATGAACAATATGAATAGTATCAAAGCAATCGGACTTACAGTTTTTAACAAGAAGTCGAAAATATCACTTTTTACCAAAAATTACAAAAATATTCACCAAAATAAATTGATTAGAGAATTGAAGATATCATCACAAAATGAACAAATCTGAGAGAGGTCAACATGTAGTACCTATATATGTAATATCAAAGCAATCGGACTTACAGTTTTCAACAAGAAGTCGAAAATATCACTTTCTACCAAAAATGGCAAAAATATTCACCAAAATTAGAGAACTGAAGATATCATCACAAAATGAACAAATCTGAGAAAGGTCTACATGTAGTATCTATATATGTAATATCAAAGCAATTGAACTATTGATTTTTAACAAGAAGTCGAAAATATCACTTTTTACCAAAAATTACAAAAATATTCACCAAAATTAGAGAATTGAAGATATCATCACAAAATGAACAAATCTGAGAAAGGTCCACGTGTAGTACCTATATATGTAATATCAAAGCAATCGGACTTGCGGTTTTTAACAAGAAATCGAAAATATCACTTTTT